TGAGCATTGGAGCTGCCCATACTGCTTACCCAAACTGGAGGATTTTCTCCAGTAAATCTTGGCAGACATATGGACTAGAGAATGGGGTGATGTAAGATGAGGGATTTGGGTTAGGGTCAGGTTTCCTACTCTTGCCATTTGTAGGCCTCTCAAGGGTCTTGTCTCTGTCATCTGTACTACAAGTTCAAATGCAAAACTTTCTTCTTTTTATGCTCTGCAGAGTGGTAACTCAGTCCTGCCTCCTCTCCCAGATCCCCTGTGAAGATTCCATAGCCCAAACTCTGGAGTACAGGGCTGGAGAGACATGTGGGTTCAGGGAGGGGTAGATATCTAGGTGGCTGAAGGGAAGGTCCAGCTATTAGAAGTCCTTTCTAGGTAAAGCAGACACCATAACCTATCGGTATAGGTCCTTGGACTCTGAAATGGATAATGATGCAGGAAAAGTGCAGGTCTAGAGTCTAGAGCAGTGATTTTCAACTGGTATGCCATAAAAATTGTTAAAGATCATTAATTAAATTATTTTTGAGGCCAGGCATGGTGGTTCATACCTGTAATCCTAGCACTCTGGGAGGATGTGGTGGGTGGATTGCTTGAGCTCAAAAGTTCGAAACCAACCTGAGCAAGAGTGAGACTCTGGGGCAGCACCTGTGGCTCAAAGGAGTAAGGCTCCGGCCCCATATACCGGTGGTGGTAGGTTCAAACCCAGCCTTGGCCAAAAAAAAAAAACCAAAAAAATAAAACAGTGAGACTCCATCTCTAAAAACAGCCCCATGTTATGGCGGGCACCTGTAATCCCAACTACTTGGGAGGCTGAGGCAAGAGGATTACTTGAGCAAAGGAGATTGAGGTTACTATGAGCTATGATGCCAGAGCACTCTACCCAGGGTGACAAAGTGAGACTCTGTCTCAAAAAAAAAATTTTTTTTTAAGAATTTCAAATGAGACTCGGTGCCTGTAGCTCAAGTGGCTAGGGTGCCAGCACTAGAGTAGAGATGGAGGTGATGAAGAGGAGGACCCAGTATGGTGTTTTCTCAGTTAAGACTGAGATTGTGGGGTGGTGCCTGTGGCTCAGTGGGTAGGGCACCGGCCCTATATACTGAGCGTGGCAGGTTCGAACCCAGCCCCAGCCAAACTGCAGTGAAAAATAGCCAGGTGTTGTGGCAGGTGCCTGTAGTCCCAGTTACTCGGGAGGCTGAGGCAAGAGAATCACCTAAGCCCAGGAGTTGGAGGTTGCTGTGAGCTGTGACGCACTCTACTAAGGGTGATAAAGTGAGACTCTGTCTCTAAAAAAAAAAATAAAAAGATTGAGATCATGGAGAGACAGGAGGAAGTATGGTGAGGGCCTATGTCTTCATCCATAGCTCAGAAAGGAGGGGTTGGGGATGGGATCAGAGTGGGGGTACCATCCAGCTCTGGCTTCACAAATTGGAGTAGGAAAGGTGAAAGGGCAGTGGGGTGGCAGAGGTTAGCAGGACGGGAGGAGCAGAGCTGGGCATGCCCAGGTCCACTCAGGGCCAGTGTTCCCAGTGGGGAGGAAACAGGAAGCCGTAACTTCCTCTCTCCTTCCTGTCCCTGCTCTGAGCCTCAAGGTTACTTGCAGCCAAGATGAATCCCAACCTGTGTAAGTTGGCATTGTTCCCTAGTATCCTGCTTCCTTCCACCACAGACGCCCCAAACTTCTCCTTTGAAATATTCATCATTCATGGGAGACACATAGAGAGCTGTTTTACATGTTTCATCTCATTCACCACACCAATCCTGTGAAGCAGAGACTTCTCTGGAAGTTTTAAATAAGGAAACAGTCTCAGGGGGAGGAAGTAACTCACCCAGGCACAGCTGGTGTGTAGCAGGCTGTGGCCTCCAGAGCCTCAGCTCTTTCCTTCCAGACTTATTCAGATCCCTGCCTCTGTGCCCCCTCCTAGCCCTTTCCCCTGGGCCCCAAAGAAGCATTTGCTGCAGAGGAGGGGGCCTTGGCACTGTTAGGAGCAGAGGGGGCTGTGGTCTGGCTTCTGTCATCCCTGGGACAGGGAATTTCCAGCTCTCTCCCTGGGGTGGAGACTTGGGGCTACCCTCCACAGTGGGATAAATCACTGTGCCAGAGCCCTTCTCTTTCTCTCTCTCTCCCTCTCTCTCTCTCTCTCTCTCACACACACACACACACACACACACACACACACATTCTGTCTATCTCTCTCTTTCTCTCATCCCGGTTTGGGCTCTTCCCTTCTCTGCCCCACCCACCACCCATCTGGACCAACAGGGGAGGGTGGGTTCTCCCACCCACGCTGCCGCTCCCTCTGCTGTGGGCGTGGGCCAGGGCTCCTGGCAACTAGAGGCCACCGAGAAGCACTAGGATCCAGAGCCTTCTTCAGAGAGCTGTGCGGCCTCTGCTAGTTTGGCAGGCACCTGTGGACCTCTCCGCTCAACACCAACCTCTGAGCCCTGCGATGTCCAACACCTCTGCCTTTCCACCCAGCTTCTTCTGGGTCAACACCTCTGGAGGCAGCATACTGAATGCTGATGATGCTGCCATGCCTGTCCAATTCCTAGCCCTGAGGGTCACAGTTGCCCTGGTCTATGGGCTTGTGGGGGCCATCGGCTTGCTGGGAAATTTGGCGGTCCTGTGGGTACTGGGTAACTGTGCTCGGCGAGCCCCTGGCCCACCTTCAGACACCTTTGTCTTCAACCTGGCGCTGGCGGACCTGGGGCTGGCACTTACTCTCCCCTTCTGGGCAGCTGAGTCAGCACTGGACTTTCACTGGCCCTTTGGAGGTGCCCTCTGCAAGATGGTCTTGACTGCCACTGTCCTCAATGTCTACGCTAGCATCTTCCTCATCACAGTGCTGAGTGTTGCCCGATACTGGGTGGTGGCCATGGCTGCAGGGCCAGGCACCCACCTCTCACTCTTCTGGGCCCGTGTGGCCACCCTGGCAGTGTGGGTAGTGGCTGCCCTAGTGACAGTGCCCACGGCTGTTTTTGGGGCTGAAGGTGAGGTGTGGGATGTGCGACTCTGCCTGCTGCGCTTTCCCAGCAGGTACTGGCTCGGGGCCTACCAGCTGCAAAGGGTGGTGCTGGCCTTCATGGTGCCCTTGGGTGTCACCACCACCAGCTACCTGCTATTGCTGGCTTTCCTGCGGCGGCGGCAACGGCGACGGCAGGACAGCAGGGTTGTGGCCCGCTCTGTTCGCATCCTGGTGGCCTCTTTCTTCCTCTGCTGGTTCCCGAACCACGTGGTCACTCTCTGGGGCGTCCTGGTGAAGTTTGACCTGGTACCCTGGGACAGCACTTTCTACACCATCCACACCTATGTCTTCCCTGTCACCACTTGCCTGGCACACAGCAACAGCTGCCTCAACCCTGTGCTGTACTGTCTCCTAAGGCAGGAGCCCCGGCAGGCTCTGGCAGACACCTTCCGGGATCTGCGGTCCAGGCTGTGGCCCCAGGGTCGAGGCTGAGTGGAACCAGTGGCCCTAAAAGAGGTAGGAAGGTGGTGGGTGGTGAGCACTCCCCCAGAGAGTGGCCCATCTACCCTACTCACGAACCCGGACAAAGGGACACCCAGGTGACGGGTACAAGCTGACTGCTCTCCTGAGATCTCGCAGATGTAGGGTCCTCACATCCCAAGAAGAGGCTGCCCTCTCTGCCAGGATGCAACACTCACAGGGAAAAGTCTGATCTTTGATCTCCAACTCTAGGTGTGGGGGAGGTGGGGTTCCAGATCAGGGCTGAGTGTGACAAAGCTTAAGCCTCTATTTGGAGATGGGGAAGAGGAGGATCTGAGAATAAATCTCTGGATTTTCCACAAATTGTCCTGACCTTTATCCCAGTCCCATCTTCAATTCACTGTGGGACAGACAAAAGGATTTATTGCCCTATTTCTGCCTTTTGTAGGAATTCTTGGACTTCCCTTAAGCCTTCTAGGATAATGGATCAGAGGTCAGTGCCCATCTATCTGTCCTCTCTACCCCTCCACCCTCAGCCACCTCAAAATAGGGCTTCTCTTGTTATTCTCTGATACTAAGGCCAAAAATGCCCTTTCTCTGGCCATTCCTGCCATCTTACCATTTCAGTGGGGCCCACAGATACTGCCTGCAGAGGCCTCAACTGCAAAGCTGTAGTTCCCCTGCAGGGATGCCAGTTGTGAGGTCTTGCTGGAATTCCTGGCACCTGCCAAGCTCTAAGTATAAAACCCTAGTGCTACTTACAGTATCTCCCTTTATTTTTTTTTTAATTTTTCTTTTTTTTTTTTTTTTTTTTTTTTGCAGTTTTTGGCCGAGGCTGGGTTTGAACCCACCACCTCTGGCATATGGGGCCAGTGCCCTACTCTTTTGAGCCACAGGTGCCGCCCTCCCTTTATTTTTTTATTCCTTTTTTTTGAAACAGAGTCTCACTTTGTCGCCCTCACTAAAGTGCTATAGCATCATAGCTCACAGCAACCTCAAACTCTTGGGCTTAAGAGATTCTCTTGCCTCCGGCTCCCAAGTAGCTTAGCTAGGACTACAGCTGCCACAACAGCTATTTGTTGTGAGGTCTTGCTCTGGCTCAGGCTGGTCTCAAACCTGTGAGCCCAGGCAATCCACCTGTCTTGGCCTCCCGAGTGCTGGGATTACAGGCATGAGCCACCTCACCTGGCCCACAGTATCTCTCTTTAAATCAGGATTTGAAGGCACAAGTGAAAATACTCACAACCCATACTGATGTGGTTGGGGCAAATACAGAACACGATTGGGAGATCAGTCTGAAGGTAGGGCCAGAGAAGCAGAAACCACAGAAAGTGGTGCTGTCAGTTTGCATGTTAGAGAACTTGGATTTGAATCTTTAGCTTGGGTAAATTTCTGTTTCTGTTTTCTTATCTGTAAAATGGGCAATTAAGGATTCAACTGCCTGACACATACTGTTAGCTATTATTCTGACACCTAATGAAAACAGAAAGGAGGAAATAAGAGGATAGCTGGGAGATGGACATAGGGAGCCATGAAGATCTTGTGTGGAATGTTTCTACACTATGTGGAGTATAATGAAAGTCTGACACAAAGAACTAAGGGGTTAGCCCCTCTTAAAGGTGTTCTCCAAGGAAGAGGGCTCCTTTTTTTTTTTTTAAGAGACAGAGTCTCACTTTATCACCCGCTGTAGAGTGCAATGACATCACAGCTCACAGCAACCTCCAACTACTGGACTTAGGCGATTCTTTTGCCTCAGCCTCCCAAGTAGCTGGGACTACAGGCACCTGACACAATGCCTGGCTATTTTTTGTTTGTTGCAGTTTAGCCGGGGCCAGGTTTGAACCTGCTACTCTTGGTATATAGAGCAGGCACCCTACCCACTGAGCCACAGATGCTGCCTTCCCTTTTGGTTTTCTGTTCATTATGACCCATCGATGATAAAAGCCATCAGAAAGGACTTTCTGGGGGGAAAAGGAGGCGGCAGAGGAAAGTTGGGATGGTGCTTCCACTTCCATTATCTTTGTTCCCCACCTCACCAAGCTCCCCGACCTATCCTGTATGTAACTGGCCACTCAAGATTATGGAGCAGTAGCTGGGAGCAGTGAGTATGGAGCCTCCTGCCCCAGTTCTATTGCTAAGAAGAGGCTCTAAAGAGCCACCCAATTACACAACATATTAAAGCAATATGAACGAGATTTAATTAGCTGCTTGATGTTTAATTTCCTCTTTTTGATAACTTTTAAACTGGTTCCAAAGCCCCAGGTCTGCTCTTAGCCACTTCAGGAAGATGGAAAATCTCCCCCCCCCCAAGCTCCCCTCCTCACACCCCCCAGCAGCTTCTCTGACAGCCTTGCTGGGCTCCGGATATTGGCTCCTCTGGGGGTATCTCTGCTTTATGGGACCTGGAGGTAAATATTGACAAAGTTCACACAGGTCCAAGTCAGAGGTGAGTGAATGCACATAAACCTACCCTTGGAGGCGTATAGGGAGCTAAGGGTGCAGCAATGGAGGAAGGGATGGCTGGGCACAGCCGAAGGCATGGCAATCCTCTCGGATTGGAAGGCTGCTCATTTTTTGGTGAGAAGCTGGGTGCTGGTTCCCTGAAGCACAAAGCCAGAGAGCTTTGCAACTGCAGCAGGAGGGACCGAAGTTAAGACTGTGAGTTCTCAAATATGGGATTATGGAGAAGACAAAGGGCAGAATGATCAAAAATGGAAGAGGGCAGCACCTGTGGTTTAGTGGATAGGGTGCCGGCCCCATATGCCGAGGGTGGCGGGTTCGAACCCAGGCCCAGCCAAACTGCAACAAAAAAATAGCTGGGTGTTGTGGTAGGCACCTGTAGTCCCAGCTACTCGGAAGGCTGAGGCATGAGAATCGCCTAAGCCCAGGAGTTGGAGGTTGCTGTGAGCTGTGTGACGCCACGGCACTTTACCAAGGCCGACTAAATGAAATTCTGTCTCTACCAAAAAAAAATAAAATAAATAAAAATTAAAAAATTAAAAAAAAAATGGAAGAGGACCTGACTCTCAGGAACCCAAAAAGAAATGCTTTGACACCATGTTTGGGGACTGAAGACGAGAGGGTTTTGGCAAAGGGAAGGCAGAAGGGACAGCAGTGATGAGAATAAGGCAGTATCACTCTACAGCAGTGGTTCTCAACCTATGGGTCACAACCCCTCTGAGGGTCAAATGACCCTTTCACAGGGGTCACCTAAATACATCCTGCATATCAGACATTTACGATTCCTAACAGTAGCAAAGTTACAGTTATAAAGTAGCAGTGAAAATAATTTTATGTTTGGGGGTCACCACAACATGAAGAACTGTATTACAGGGTCACGGCATTAGGAAGGTTGAGAACCACTGCTCTACAGAGAGCTGTGGGCTTTTATACGCCCACTGAGGGATCTGCCTCAGGCTTGGCAGTTTCTCTCCTGATTGGCACCCTCACTGGGTGCACAAAGGGTGTTGATAAAACCTGCATTCCCCTTTCTTGGTGGTCTTCCCATGCTGTCCCCACTCCACCCTTACAGCTTTGGAGTCCAGCAGTTTCAGCTAACAGGGAGATAGCTGCCAAGCTGGGAATCAGTGTTTCTGAGATCTGAAACTCTAGTATTTTTCGGCAGAGTAGCCAAGAGGGGCACAGTGGACGACTAAATTAGGAAGGCTGGCCCCTTCCTGGCCTGGCAACCCTTCTGCACTCAAGTTTCCCTGCTGTAAAATAACAATTGATTCCCATAATGGATGTGAAAGCACCTTGTAAAAGCCATATGGTGGTCAGGGTTACAGGAGTGGAAGGTACTGGCTGCTCCCCAAGCCATGAGACTCTTAATTCCTCTTTCTAGCTGAGGCTCTGCACCCCGTTCTTCTCATCTTACCCACAAGCTCCAGCAAGGACTTGCACATGTGCCCCCATTTATATAACCCCAGATGCCCCCTCCTCCCTTCCCTCTCAGCCCTGAAGCTAGGTTATCAACCAGAAACAGGAAGTAAAACCAAGCCAAACCAAGAACTGAAACTTGCTAACCCCTCGATGCCTCTCCAAGGGGTAAAAAGCATGAGCAGGTCTTATGAGGGTCACCCCAGGGTTCTGATCTTACAGAGGTGAACAGCGACAGGGACAGCGCTGCATCTGCGAATGACAACAGCAGGGACAGGAGGACAGGACAGCACCAAAAGGGGACAACAGGCTGTGTTGACTTCTGAGCATAGCATACAAATAAGATGAAGACTGGAATCCCCAACAATGGAACCTAACCAAGTACCCCTTCACTTTTATCCTTGGATTTGTGAATTAAAGAAAAAGATATGTAGCAGCTACATTTTTTAGTGGCCTTCTCTTCAGTGTGGCAGGCTGCCCTTTTGGAGAGGAAAGAATGACAGTTACTGCCCTGCTCTCCCCTCACCATCACCCTCAGAACTGACAGACACTAGGAGAGACAGTACCTCATGGGGTTCTAGGTCTTTAATTTTCCCTGCTTGATCTTTTTTTGTTTTGTTTTTAAACAACCAAATTGGCAGAAAAATGGCTGGGGCTGGTGGGCATGGGATGGTCCATTGAGAAGTTCCCAAAATTCACACTGAGGTTTCAGGTCATGGTTGCTGAGGTGGAAGACAAGGTTAGGGTTCCTAGAGATTTCCCAGACCATCCTGGAACATTTTTCCCAATGGCTGGGAAAGAGGTCAGTCAGTATATGTCCCCCACTGCTGTAGATGAAGGGAGAAGTCATTTTTTCTCTCACCCCTCAACCTGCTCAGAGATGTGGAGATAGAAGGCTGCGATCTCTAATTACCTACAATCTTTTCTTAAAAATATAAAACACGTGCAATTGGCTTTGGTACAAAAAAGGAAAAAAAAAAAAACACAAAACATTCTGGTCCCTGTGGAGTTTTCCCCCTCACCCTAATAAACCATCATGATACCCACTTCTATCCTGTCAACTCTAGGAAGCCAGGTTGTCTCCCTAGTGTTCCCATGTAGGACAGATAGAGGGGAGGATAGTGGTAAGTGGTAGAGGGGAGAGGGCAGAGGGACAGAGCCCTGCCCCACCCCTCCTTTAAGGGCAGTAGGGTCCTATGGCTGCAGCCTCTCCTCTGAGATGGGGGTGCTAGGGAGGGGTGTAGGGCTAGAACCCAGCAGCTGGATGGTTAAGCCTGATATACCCCAGTAGTGTTAAAGGATAGGCCCCCTGATCCCTATGGCTTGGTTCCAATGTCCCTGGTCCTATAAATCCCTCCGCTCCCCCTGTAACTAATAAACAATAAATAAATAATTTTTCCTAAAGTATAGGGAAGAAGGCATGAGAAACTGGCATTTGTGGTGTAGCTTTTGGACGCCAGCCACCTGGGGGTACTGTGGCCTAATTCCCCCAGCATCTTAAATGGCCCCAGGTATCCAAGGATCCCAAGAGCTGGCAAGGACAATCAGCAGTTCTTTGAAATGTTCCCTCATCATTGGTGAATGAAGTCCCCAAGGTCTGCCCCCTCAGTACTGTTCTTCAGTGGGGCACAGGCACGGGGGAGGGGCTCCCTTAGCTCTCGGAGGGTATAGGCTCCCCATCGCGGCTCTCCGTCTCCTCTGGGATGTCCTGCATTCGGGTGAAATCTGAAGGGGACAGGGCAAAACAGTTAGTTAGCAGGGCCTCCCATGAGGACTGCACCCCACACTAATGCTTCTCCATCTGAGGCCAGGAGCTTGACAGGATGTGAGTCCTTGGAGGAGGGGAAAACCTGCTGACAAAGTGACCAGGGGACTCTACCCAAGGTGACAGAGGGAGGCTCTGTCTTAAAAAAAAAAATGCAAGCATGTACCCACACCTAGGTACACACTGGATACACTTTGTAAGTATACAAAGATACAATTTGATTAATAAAATACAAAATACTGGCCTGGTGAGGTGGTTCTCACCTGTGATCCTAGGACTCTGGGAGGCTTAGGTGGGAGGATCCCTTGAGCTCAGGAGTTTGAGACCAGCCTGAGCAAGAGTGAGACCCCATCTCTACTAAAAATAGAAAAACTAGCTGGACGTTGTGGCAGGTTCCTTTAGTCCCA